CTACTGTATGTGCTGATCACCACATTTTTGTTCGTTGCCTTCTGCTGCATGACACATTTGAGTTACGTAGCAGGGGGGTCATGACACTCACCACGATATGACCCTTGGTTCGGTACTCGAGCTCCCACTGCTTGATGGTGCCCTCCGACATCTCGATAAACTCGGCCGACGCCTCAAAGGCTTCTCGCCTCGACACCCCCTCGAGTAACTTGGTGTACACCGCTCTTAGGGCGAGGGCTTTGATGAGCAGTTTTCCAGCTTGTGCGTGCGAAACATCCATGGTCTCCTGGGGCGGCAAGGGTAATCATGTCGGTGGGAGAAGAGGGCAGTGTTTGGTGTGCAGCTCGTTTACGTTGCACACAAAACACACACACACACACACACACACACACACACGTTTCAGATCTCGGGAGAGAACACCGTCACGTGCAGCGCCAACAAGCAGTAAGACAGCACAACTCCGACAATGCATCGTACATACATATTCAAAGAAAGGATCCAACACAACTGCTTCAGCAACAGCAGTTCAACAACAAAGCAACAACAGTTGCTTGACGCATGAGCATGTTGAAGTCCAGGCGCATGTTTCAGATTTTGAGCACGCTGCTTGCAGAAGAACGGCAGTTGTACATACATACAACAACAGTAGCAACAGCGATGGCATACATCACAGTACTGTATGTACCGCGGAATTACGGGGCCACTGCTGTGTGCATGTCAGTACACAGGATACCAGCCAGATCCACACTCACGTCGAGCCCAGCAGACGTTGCCGCAACTGCACTCTGGCACTCCTTCACAACGGCGCGGAAGTACTCGACTCCTTTCTCCCAGCCAGCCTTGCGTGCAGCGGCCGCCAAGGCTGCCTTCTCCAGCTACGATCTATGCTTTGCGAGCTTGCGCAGAGTCTCCGTCCTTCGCACACCCCTGTTGCTCTGGCGCTTGAGGAACGTCTGTCGCCAGTCCTTCTCATGTCTGTCCACTTCTCGCGCCGCATCAAACATCGCGCTTGAGAGGTCCCGCATGCAAGCCAGCAAACGCCAGCTGGTTCTGCTCCACGCGCGCCTGGTATGTTTCATCATTGCACGCAACCTCTTCCGGCCGAAGCTTCCCTTCGGTCGGCCAGCCCCTTCACGTGCTGCCTGCTTTGCAGATGGTGGAGGCACCGGGAGGATCTCGGCCGGGGGTTGACAGTCCCGCGGCCGTTTTTCTCGAGGAGGAGGTGTGACGTTGCTCTGGCCCCCCGCACCTTCTGTGGAGAGAAGGGCGCTGCCGCTAGAAGAAGACGGCCGCCACGCAGCAGCGAACTTTGCCTCGGCCGACCAGTCACGTGCCTTTTTGTTTGACTTTGGGTAGTCGATGCAGTTACTGTACCAGCTGTTGCTGGAACCATCCGCGAGGTCTGCTGTCAGCTGCAGACGATACATTTTCGGGCTCTTCACTTGACGCACACCGGTCAACGTAGAACCACGCCTAGTCAGGGCTTCCCTGATGGCCGCATGGGCCTCAGGGCGAAGCATGGAGGTCATGGGCGTGCAGTGCGTGCACCGCTAGCTTGTTTTGTTTCCAGCCGTTGGGGCTGATGTGGGCAATTTTTCGAAAAATCTTGTTTCTGATTTTTTGCGGCATGTTGTCAAAAAGGTTCGGAAATGGAACCAACGCCATAAAATAGAATAGGATACCATCAGGATTGTCATTGGTAAGTTGAAGAGGAGATACTTTTACGATGTAAATGACAGTAGAAATAAGTCCTACATATGTTGTTGTACTTCGTATTGGTTTAATATTCATGTAGAGTATGAGACAGAAAGTTTTCTGAGGTACATCTGCAATTGTCGGAAGGCAAAAATAAATAAAATAAAATAATGGAAAGAGAGCGTCAATTATCCAATTATCTGCAACTCTTTTGAGGTCGTGCGAAGGGATTTATGATTTATAGGGGGTTCGGGGGTGGGGTTTCCGGAGGGTTCGGAAAGCATGCCGTGCTGTCGGCGCGCGCGCGCCTCAGTTCTTGCTTGACGGTTTGGAGGTACACCTTGTTTGCGGACTCAGCCAGAGCTGTGCAGACTTGCAGAGCCTGCCTGTTCGTGTGTTTTGTGGAGTATTTTCTGCGCGCACAGGAGACTCATGGTGTGCAGGGAAGGAGACGAATATNGAGCTGTGCAGACTTGCAGAGCCTGCCTGTTCGTGTGTTCTGTGGAGTAGTTTCTGCGCGCACAGGAGACTCATGGTGTGCAGGGAAGGAGAAGAATACCGCGAAACCGTACGGAAGCAATCAATACAAAGAGCGCGTCCTGCTCGTGCTCTGAACAATTTGTATGTGCGCGCCTGCCGTTGGGTAAGGCATGCTCGCGTGTACTGCTCATGTACGAAGAGTATGGAATATCTAGCTGCATCTAGGTGCATGTAGGTCTAGGCTTACTTTGCACAGCTTCGAGATGACCGGAACCGCTGACTGTGTTGACACACAAGAAAAAAAACGATTGCCNTGCTCGCGTGTACTGCTCATGTACGAAGAGCGTGGAATATCTAGCTGCATCTAGGTGCATGTAGGTCTAGGCTTACTTTGCACAGCTTCGAGATGACCGGAACCGCTGACTGTGTTGACACACAAGAAAAAAACGATTGCCACTCAACGGCCGCATCAGCATCCAGATCTGCAGCAGTATCTATGTGCTTGCTGCTCTGTGCTGCTTCCATCTGCCGGATCTTGATATTTTTCCGACGTCCAACCACAGGCAACAACAAAGCATTACGACATCTGAAGAAGAGCGTTTGCCCCAAAGTCATCCTTTAACGTGTCGAAAACCAACCCATCTCCGGCTCAGGTTAATTAAGACCGAAGCTACGCTCATGTTTGTACCGTAGGTGACACAAGATATCATACCCCCTGGACCGATTTTCCAAGCTCGATATTTACACA